ACACAAAAAGCTTGACAAAATTTGTAACCATTCTTTCAATCACGACTTTATACATATTAGAGTCTTATAATCTCTTTTTAAAATTATTTCTTCTTTCATGGGGTTAATGTAGTTCGCCAATTTGCCCATAGCTTTTAAATTCATTGGTCTTCTTTCATGGGGTTAATGGAGACAAATGTTGAGTGACTATTGATGATGACATACGTAATAGTATTAGACTCCTACTTGTTTTTATTTTTTTCTTGTTTTTTAATATATATATATATAAATAAATTTGTATATGGTTTTAGCCACTCCAGTGACGTATTGTCTCACTGTTCTGAGATTAATAGCTTGTTTGGGGAGGCATTGAACAAGATGCACAAATGGAGTCCCCTACGGCTAAAGGTCAAAATTGCATGATCATATTTTTCAAGGTTAATGACTTAGGAACAATCTTTGATTACTACCCGTGTCTAGGAATTCTTCAAGTTTTACATTTTCTCTGTTTCATTTTCATGTAAATGTCTTCCCAGAATAACATGTTAAAGTATTAACCAAAGGCAAGAATAGAGATAGAGATATGTTATATGCCCAAACTGTCGAGCAATATAAGACAGTACCAAAATCTAATTAAAAAAATGCTCCAAATAATAATGCCCCAAAAAATGCCCCAAAATCTAATTAAAAAAAAAATGCTCCAATCTAACAGGATAGAAAATAAGAATAATAATAATAATTTGAATTCAGAATTGAAATCAAGCAAGTTGAGAGCAAGTTCATCATTTTCGCAAAATAATCAAAATTCACAAGCCCAAGCATGCAAAGCAACACTAGCATTATGAGCAAAATAGAAAGACAATGTTAAGCTATGAACAAAAAAGTGATTTCTAGACGCATCAAAAAGTATGCAGCAACAAAGACTGGCAAGAATGTATTTGTCTTATCTTTATTCATTTTCATTCTCAACTAAGTTTGACAGCATATTAGGCAAGAATTCAGCACGAAATTTTTTCAGCTGCCTCATGGAAGTTTGACAAACCTCAAAATATACTTTCCTGTCTATAACCCAATTCTATAGTCAAAGAAAATTCTAAAACAGCTTTATTCTAAAACAGCTTTATCAATTTGCAAATTTTAAAAGAAATCAATTAGAAACAGAGGCACATTTGGTGATATAGTTCAACAATCCAAAATCGAGAATCCAAATCCATAATCCAAAATTTCAACCAAACCCATTCACGAAATCAGAAAAACCCCTAAAAAATTGTTTACGAAATAAATGGAAAATGAAAGGAAAAAAACAATAAAGTCAAAACCCTGCTTGCATCATGAGAGAATGGGATAAGAGAGACATCGAGAAACAGATACAACCAGACAGACCCAGATCGACAGAGAGGGACAGAGATGACAGACACATACCTGTAATTAGTGGTGGGGCCGATTTGCAGTGGTCGTAGTGGCGAGCGCCGGTAGCCTGCGATGGTGATGATCAGCGGTGGTGAGCGACGGGCTTGGTATGGACTGGTCTGTATGTTGATGGTGGTGTGTGAGACAAAAGAGAACAAAATGTAATATTATATGTACTGGGCGCCAATATTAATTATTTTCCCTCTAAAAAAATTTCAAAACTTTAGCGACTAAACGAGTTTTTGTCGCCAAATATCCTTAACGACGACTAAAAATTGGTCACCAAAAGATGCTTCTTTGGCTACGAAATTCAAAAATTTGTCGGCAATATTGAATATACAACGACTAACCCAGCTTTGGCCATCAAAAATTAATCAGAAATATGGCCATTTTATTTTTGTCGCAAAATGAAATTATACGGCGACAAAATCACATTTTAGTAGCCTAAAATGGTAACAAATAGCGACTAAAGGTAAATTTCGTCGCCAATAAGACTATATGGCGACTAAAATAATTTAGTAGCTAAAAGATGCAATCAATGCCGACTAAATCAGGTTTTTAGTCGCACAATCTGACGTTTTTGGCGAGTAAAATTGGTTTGGTCGCCAATTTTAGTTGCCAAACATGCATTTTCTTGTAGTGTTATGTGTTAGCACATTATCAGTGTGAAGGATCCTATCATTTATGTCTATTTTCAATACAAGTACTGACACATAAGATAACACATATATTCTTAAAATCAGTGAAACAAAAAAAAAATAAAGTATAGCATTATTCCTAAAACGAAATAAATTAAAGGAGCTCAAGCCATAAATCTAATTTTTAAACTTATTTGGCAATAGATTCAAGATCTAACCTTTTAAGGCCATAAAGGCATGCGTTTACGGATAGTTATATGTTCAAATCATTTACACTTTTAGATAGCTATCTGTTCAATTATTTATGGTGTTAAAATTTTAACAGTTCATACTTTATACTTAGTAGTTTGTTTGAATGAATTTTTTTTTCGATTCCATGTATTTTTTCAAGATCTATCTATCCAAACTTGCCGATGCCAGTTTCGAGCATTTATTTTCTAAAAAAAATGTCAATTTCTAGTAATATCAAGTGATCATCACATTGGTCTATTTGTTTTTTGGATTTTTAAGAGAGAAATTATGGGTTTGTGGGCCATTGTTTTATTACAAGTTTCCAAACCCTCAATTATTTTCATTGATTGGGTTATAACACCTAATTTTCTACCCATGTGATGTAAATTAATCAAAACAAATCAACTTTTGAATAACCATGTGACAATTATCAAAATTTTAACACAAATAATGATTACCATGACCAATTTGAATAAACAAAAAATTTGAATAGATAAGCAAAAAATAATAGGATAGATAATAAAAAATAATACAATCGATAGACTCAATTCGGAGAGACAAGCAAAAATACTAAGACAAGTAGATTAAAATAAACAGGTTAAAATAATTGGGACAGATAGATTAAAATAATTTGCACAAATAGGTTTAAAGTATTTGGATAATTTGGACATATAGGTATATATAGGGCATTTACTTGGGACGTATAATTTAAAATAATTTGAATGGATAGATTAAAAATAGTTGGACATAATTTGAATAGATAGGCATACACAGGGCATTTACTTGGAACATATAGTTTAAAGTAATTTGAATAGATACATTATAATATTGAGACATAATTTAAACAGATAAGTTCAAATTTAGACAGATACATATATAGAGTAAGTAAATTAGCTATCTGTTCAAATTGTTTATGGTGCTAAAATTTTAACAAGTCATAAGTTTGGGATCGATAGTCTGTTTTGGACCATTTTTTTTTATTCCATGTATTTGTTTTAGATCTATCCATACAAAATTGGCAAAAGTGGTTTCGGGCGCTCAAAAAATATTGTTTGTTGTTTTGATTAACTGAAAAATAAATCTATTATCTTTTTTAAAATTCATATTCAATATTAATTTTATTTAAAAGATCTCAAAAATACAAATCCACATATATCAATTTTATTAAAAATAAATTTATAAAACTGAAGTCATGAAATTTTAAAAAAATTTAACAAAAAATACATTTTGAACTTATCGACAAAGTTTGTCCTTATAACTAATAAACATCCCACCAATGATTTAAAACCTGGACTAGACCGGCTAGTCGGACCGGTAGAGCAGAGACTCAGGCCTAGTTTCGGTTTGAAAGAATCCTAAAACCAGGACTAGGTTGAAAACTGACTCGGATTGTGAAAACCGAAAGAATCGTCGGTTCAATCGGGAAAATCGGTGACCCAGTACCGGTTATGAAACGACCCAACGGTTGGAAAATCTTTAATTATTGTATATTTTTTTTCCTTTTCTTTCTTTCGTTCCTTCTTATATATATATATATATATATATTTCAAAATTTTGACTAAAAATTCTTACTTCAAAAATATCTTCTCATGAGAAGGAGTCTCATTGAAATTTGAAGAGATTATGAAAGTCTATTGTTATATATAAGAAAAGATTTTTCAAAGAGAACTTACAAATTCTATGTGGAATTCAATCAAATTATAGGCTAAAATAAGTGACTTTTTCTTATCAATTATGACTTTATTAAATATTATTAATAAATACTATGCAATAATTTTTATTTTTATTTGAGTATTCATATATTTTTTTATTTATTTATAATTTATAATTATATTTTTTAATTATATAATATTAATTATCGCGTCACTAATCAACTACTTTGACCCAACGGTTGAACTGATAACACGTCTATTCAATCCATTTTCTAATTCATTCACTAATTTTCAAAACATTACATCCAACCATGAACCTTGGTCCCAAAATACGTTATCAACTATGCTGCAGACCCCCAGTGGGGGTCGCACCCCCAGTGAGGTGGCGAGCTCCCACTAGCTGAAACTCAAAAAAAATAAAAAAATAAAATAAAACAATTTTTTTTTTATCCAATTACGACGCGCCACCTCACTAGAGGTCGACCCCCAGTGGAGATCCGAAGCATTTTTCAATACGTTATAGGTTGAATTTTTCATAACTTAATACATTTTATTAAATTTTTAAGAAATAACTTACTAAATTAAAAATATAATAGTAGAGCAATATTTCACGATCACCTAATACCACCAAAAAAATTCTCTAGTACAATAGACGGTCCATGTGCACTTTCCTAATTCAAATCGTATCACGCTGTCCACGCGTTGTACTTGCGAGTGTGTAACGTTTTTCCCTTCTCACTACACCTTTATCTACTTCTCTCACTTGACATTATTTGTATAAATTAGATAACTTTGTTATGATTTTACATATTTTTTTTTTTATAAAAAATCAAGTGATATACCTATTCTAAATAAATAAATTTATTTAAATCATACTCCTATCATTTTTTTATATATATTATCCATAAAAAATAAAAAAATATAATTATATACATCATCTTATACAACCCACGACAACACTCGAGTCGAAAACGCTTAAATCTCAGATCCTATCCCAATAACTAGCTTTGTCTGGTCTCGTCCACCACGATGCCGCCACCACCATCTCCGGCAGCCACCAGCAGCTGAAAGAGCAATCAAACTCCAACAAATGGCATCTCAAGAACCACAACCATTCCACTGGCGCTACCCAGAATTGGACGACAGAGACTTACAAATCCGAGGCCGTACCCTCTTCTCCATCGTGGTCCTCGTCGCCTTCATCCTCCTCATCACACTCCTCTTCATCTACGCCCGATGGGTCTGCCGCCTCCGCCTCCTCCTCTCCGCCTCCTCCGACCTCCCTCACGCGCCGCCGTCTCAACCCCAACCCCAACCCCCCCAAGGTCTCCACCCCTCCACAATCAACAGCTTCCCCATCATATTGCACAACTCATCAACAATGAAGACAGTCGATGATTCCGAGTGTTGCATATGCCTTGGAATATTCCAAAATGAAGACAAAGTAAAGGTGTTGCCAAAGTGTCACCATTGTTATCACTCCGACTGTGTTGACAGGTGGCTCACTGCTCACTCCAGTTGCCCACTCTGCCGATCTTCTCTCCGAGCCGACTCTCCTGTTTGACTCGGTCTCGATCCCTATTCCGATCGCTCTGCATATCCAAGAAAGATTATTTCGCTTGGATCAGTGTTTTTTCTTGTTGGTTATGATGATTTTATGAACATTTATTTTCTTTGATTCTTGTAAATTATTGAAATTGTTATTAAATTTTACATTGGGTGTGAAGATTTTGTTTCATTGGGTGATGATACATGGAATGAATTTTTTATCACAATGAGGTCATGATGTTGATATTTGTAAGATTAGTTTCTAAAACAGGAGTAGTTAAAAAGAGTGTAAATTTTTGTGGATCTCTCCACTTGTTTGATGAAATTCCTGATTGAGTTGGGTGTTTTTGTTTGAGTAAAGTTTTGAACATCCAAGTAGGATCGAATGAATTGTGTCGTTCGTTGTACTGTAGTTCTCAAGCTAAAGGAGAATTTCATAAAATCTTGATTGAGTGTTGAGCTTTGTTTTATTGCAAAAGTTTCAAATAAACATCCAATCGATGGGAAAAATTTGTCAGTTTAAAAAGCTGTGAAAGAAGGGTGAGCTTTTACTGTGTTAGTCGTCTTCTGTACCGAAATTATTTGTTGGTTTTGACCTACTTTGATGTGATGCTCTATTGTGAGTGGTGGGATGAGTAGAATATATAAATTTGTATGGAGTAGTTAAAAAAGTATGAAAAAGCACGACTTATGGTTTTGTTTGGTTTGTGTTTCTTAAAAAGTTTCGAAATTTTTTTTTTATAAATAAATTTTTAAAAGTAATCAAATCAAACAAATTTTTCTAAATTTTTTTTCTAAAACTTGTTTAGTTTACAAGTTTTTCAAATAAATCTCTCTCTCATACACATCAAATCAATCACTTTTTTCAAAACTCTCTCTCAAAATAATTTTTCAAAACATCTTTTGAAAAAAAACTAAACCAAACAAATTTTCGTACTCTTTATCTCAAAACATGTCTCTCAAATACAAACCAAACAAGCCCTATAATTTGTAAGAACATGGTCACGCGAGGTCGTCGAACTAACTAATAATTTTTTCTCTTTACTCAAAAACAACAATGCGTCCAACCCCCAGCGACCCCCTTCCAGTGCCACGTATCGGCCTGGGGTTGGCTGAAAAGAAAAAAAAAAAAAAAAGTTTTTTTTGCCCAATCACAGATGACCCCCCAACACCCTAGCTGGGGGTCTAAGTCATTTTTTATTCCAAATTTCAAATCTTAAAGGCCAATTTGGTGCTCAAGTTCTTGTCTTGTTTTTATTTATTTTTTTGGGCAAATATTAGTTATTAATTGTTAGATTAATATTTATGAGAAAAAACTTTTTCACCCTTAACAAAATACCTAAATACTTGCACTCTTTCAATTAACTCTCCTCAAGTTACACTACTACAAAAACAGATAAAGATCACACTTTTTTTGTGTGATGTATGTTATTTAATCACACCTTTTAAGTTTTATTAAAGTGTGATCTTTGGGAGTGTGATTAAAAGAGGTCATTTTTAATCACACTTTTTAAGTGTGCTAAATAACATTTAGATCACACTTTTTAAGTATAATTAAAAATATTTAGATCACACATTTTAAGTGTGATATTTGGAAGTGCGATTAAAAAGGGTCATTTTTAATCACATTTTTTAAGTGTGATTAATAACATTTAGATCACACCTTTTAAGTGTGATCTTTAAAAGTGTGATTAAAAATGATCATTTTTAATCACACTTTTTAAGTGTGATTAATAACATTTTGATCACATCTTTTAAGTGTGATTAATAACTAATAAAATCTATAATAAAAAAAGGGTTCGACATATTTGAAAAATAATCAATATTATTTTTGTATGCACATTTGAAAAATGTAATACACACTATATACTATATTTTGAATCATAACCACGTATTGAATAGAATAACATCATATATTTCATAAATGGAAATTAAATATTCAAAAGTATATACAAAAGAATTAAATAAAAAAAAATTAACTGTGCTTACATATATTAAAAAATGAAAAAACTTAAAAAAACTAAGTTCTTTAATTCTTGGACCATATTTTGCATCTCTCCAAAAAAATTCTGACCTGAAAAATAAAAACACAAATTAATCCAGAAACCGCTGATGCATATGAATAAACTAAAAAGTTAATTCAAC